TGACAATGGAAAAAAAATGTTCTTAACTGTTAAATATACTGCAAATTTTGTGTCTGATAAAAATTGTATCCTTTTAGTACATGGTTACAATAAGACACGAATCTTCGATACATATCTTGTGTTTATGCTATACGGACAAGTTGGGTTATTAACCCCAGTAAGAAAGTGCAAAGTGTCTGGACCCCTATACCGACCAGTAAAAGTAGATGTGTCGGCTTCTTCACCATTTTTAGGTTCACATTTATTTCAGTTGTATATCACAGATGTGGAACCAACAATTCCAGTTAGTTTTGAAGAATCCTATAAACCAAAATTTTTTATTCGTCGATTAAATCTGATTGAAAAAGAAGTAACATTGACCGGTTCACCAAAGGAACAAGGGCTAGAATTGGGTGATCACAAGTTGTATTTGCAAATGGCATGTCTCAGTGTCCAGGTAGGGAACACATGGATTTGGTTCTCAAGCGACGTGGGACAATTTTTCATAAAGGTAACAACGCAACCTCGCTGGGATATACCTATAGACAGCCTGCAAACTAAAGTGCATACGTGGCCGATGGATCCCTGCAGCTGCGGAGAGGCATGCGAGTGCTATAGAACTACCATCGTAATGATACCCCATCGTGTCGACCTCATGCTAAAGGCTGTGCGGTATGCATTACTAGAGCATGCCTCCAGCACTATGATTCAAATCTTTGATCGCTTGATCGGTAGGTTTACTTGTCTTTATACTCTCGCTTAGAGATATTTATAAAACAAAATATGCTTATTGTCTGTTACTTTTAGATACGGCGACTGGTAAAATAGTTCTCACGATGCTATTGGAGGAGGGCGGAACTAACATGAGTGACGTGAATCATATTCTTCGAAGCAGCAGTACATTCAGGATCACGTCGCGGTCTCTGATACCGCGCATTGAACGCGTCACAATGTATCATCACACGAATGCCATACTGGCGTTACCAGTTACTCTTCCAGCTAAAAATAAGCCTGACAAATACTCCATTTCATTAACTTCAGATTGTGGCTTAGATATTCGCACATATAGAATATTCTTTGTCGAAGCCACTGAATTTGAATGCCCACGTGAATGAATAATATGCACAACTGTTTACACCTACACAACCGCATGTTGGCCAGAAACCTCATATTTATGATCAATAACAAAACCTTTAACTAAATACTTCTTTCTTAAAATAGCTTCGATTAAAAAACTTACTTAAGTGAGCACCACAGTTGACAGTGGCCATTCATATCGGAATAAAATTAAATATCTCAATGACGATTAGAAGCATAAATATCCCAATATTTCATCCCGTTAACCTTTACACACACGTTCACAATACGTCCACAGAATTCAAAATATTCGAATGTCTAGTTGATAGTAGGTCTAGGTACAGTGCATACGAGTACAAAACGGCAATTCATTAATATCAAAACCAGTTAAAACACTTTTTTTTCAATAAGTTTTATAATTATTATGGTATGTATGTATGTATGTATGTAGGTACTTTTTGTTATGACGTAGGTACCTATATTTTATTGCAGCCAGAAACCAGTATTGAGTAAATTAGTCGTTAAATATTTGCATATCGTTCGTACCTTTTTACTTCACTTAAAATTTTGATAGATATTTAACTATTTCGTAGACTTATAGCCCAAGATATTCAATTAAGATAGTACTTTAGTTGTTTGTTGTATGTAAGTACAGGGTCCTGGGAAATCAAATATCCTAAGGCTCAGAAAAATATCAACAAATAACTAGTACTTAGGTATTCAACCTGAAATAACTTCAATAACTTCTCGTTATTCATTTATTAGCAACTGCCTAATTGCTTAAGTACCTACTAATATTACCAATTCCACAAGCACATAGTCTTAGGATGAATTTTTAAGTGTGGGAAAGAGAGCCATGCTTCGGCACGAATGGGCCGGCTCGACCGGAGTGATACCACGGCCTCACAGAAAACCCACGTAAAACAACACTTGCATTCTATTTCTTCATGTAAGTGAGGTTACCGGAGGCCCAATCTCGAATCTCTCTAATCCCCGAATCCCTAACAATCCTCAAATTCGTAATCCCCAAAAGGTTGATAACACACTTGTAATACCTCTGGTGTTCCGGGTGTTCGTGGGCGACGCCGATGGCTTATCATCAGGTGATCCGTCTCAATTGAATTAAATTAATTTGTTAGATGGCTCTCAAAGACGGGAGTTTTTGATCAAAGTATGTTTCTAAAGATTTTGCTTGTTGCTCTTATGCAGTATTTTTGAATTTGATAAAGGTGGATGCAGATAATTTCTAAACAGCAAAAATCACAAGTTGTTCTTGGGCATAAGTTACACATGGCAATGCGTTTTTTGTTCGTTTTACGTAGATTTCTAATTATTTATAATATTTTATAAATCTATTTCATTATAATATTTAATTTACTGTCCATTTATATAACACTGAACAATTGCACGTCAATCGCATTTTATTTGTTCTTGTTTGTGTGTTTAGTATAATTAATTTTATTCTGTACCTATTTATAATTTTATATACATAAGTAGGTATAGTTATTTTTAATTAGTTTACTATGATGAATTTTTGGTATTCATTTTTACAGCAGGAGCAGTTAATATCATTTATTTGTTTGTTAACGCATCCACAATATGAAAAACTAAAATACAGCATTGTGTTGCTGTCTGTTCTACATTTAGTTATGCTACAGACTTCTTCGTGTCAATATTTTTCTAATGTACGTTTGTTTTAGAAATTTATTGTTTAATATTGTACCTAATAAATTGTATTATTTTGTACATTTATATTTACTTTCATTCATGTATACCGTTTAAGTCACCAATTCTATATACTCAACAAAAGAGTTCATTCATTTTTTCACACGAACCATCCGTATTTGACGGAAGTATAGCTGGGGCGCACGTTCAATGATGCGCAAGCGCATCGGAAGCGTGCAGCGGTGATGCGCGCGCGCCGCCTCGCCTGCCGCCTTGACCGCGCCACTCAGCCGGCACGCCGACTGATGACCGGTCATGGCAGACGCCATAATACACGGAAACCTATACTTTATAAAAACTGGGTCAAACTATTGTTCCTCAATGCTTTCATAGACATATTTACATGGAGTCTGCTTACCATCCTCTATCTGACTAATAATAAAAATTGCAGGAAATCCTGGGTTTAAGCTCCAGAAATCTATATAAATAAAAATGAATTTCCGTTTGTTAGTCGCACTAAACCTCGAGAATGGCTGAACTGATTTGGTTAATGTTGGTCTTGAAATTTTCGTGGAAGTCCAGGGAAGGTTTAAAAAGTTAGATTTTTTTTAGTGTGCCTGGTCAGCTGGTTCTTAATAAAATCAGGAGATCGATTTACTCGTTTGCCACCGATTCCTTAAAAGATATACCACACAAGTCTTACAATTAACTTGGCAAATCGACTGAACTGCAGCTCTAGTAACAACAGCTTACGAAACCAGATGTGATGATATCATGTTATGTTTTATAATACCAAGATACCGTTTTATTTACATTTAATAGCTCATCTATCCACCATTAATCGCCAAGTTGACCATAACACTCAAGTTTGAAGAGCCAAAGTTACAATAAATTCAACTAAACGTATACATTTTAGCGTATAATAAAGTATATCTTTGAACTTGAACGAACAAATCTAACCGGCCGGTTAAATTCGCCAAGTGCAGTAAAACGCGTGCATAGTGGCCTTCACCTTTTACAATAATTCTGCTCACATGGGTCTATAAGGAAGAAAAAATACAAATACATTCACTATTTCGCTTTATAAATCAAGTTGTGGTAACAAAATGGTTGAAATCCATTTATTTTTAAATTTAAAACCGGCCGCCAGAGACGTTACCAGCCAGCGTCTGTAAGAGGCCCGCGAATTATATTTAAAAATATAACCAAAATAAATTTTATGTTCATACACATAAGGCTGGAATCCCGGAAAGTTATTAGCAATTTTATCTTCCAATCATAAACATCAATCGGAATAATCATCGGATCCACAATGTAATCCTTTAATTTACTAAACAGGTTTACTTTAATTCGATCAATCAACGCTTTAAAGGAGAAATTCGAGTCACGACTTTCGACTAAATATTGGCGGAAAAAAAACAGAAACACGTTTTTATTTAGTTTAATAAAACCTGCTAGCAAAGGAATTTATTCCCCTTTGGTACCTTACTGACACCAAAAGAAGTCTTTATATAGAACATAAGCATATATTTAAGTACCTATTATTTTCTAAATGGACACGTACCTATTTAATACTATGATTGATGTCATAATTGAGACTAAAACTTTCTGCTTTTGCCAACACTTTCTGTTTAATATATTTAAATAAGAAACATAATTGACTTGCTTCTTATATTGTTAGAGGCAGACTCTGAGAAAACATGTTATTGTCATCTCCACAGCAAACAACAAGCATTCATGTATGTACCATTGAGAACTTTAACACTTTAACCGTTAACATTGTCTTAGAAGCAAGTGAATAACTGACATTTTATTTTAAAAAATATTGCGGTTTGATAATAACATTAATTCAGTGTCCTATATTTATAAATATCACTTTTTAAAAGATTCATCAAAAGCATTCACACGGCAAAATGTATGTAAATAATGTCGGTGTCGTTCAAAAGAGTGGACCGGTCCTGTTAAATTTTTCGCGCATCTCAGACGGTAGTGAGCACGGCTCCGCGTCTTGTGATTCCCAGTATTATTACCAAGTCCGCGAGTACCTCGGCTCGCTGCTGTAGAAAGCTGATCTGCGCCTATAAATCCACCTCACGCCACTCGCTACTACCATTGTCTCTCTGATCGTCCTCTCAACTTCAAGTGTCATTTCAACTCCTCCTTCCACATTGTTTATGTAAATTATCTTACAATCAAGTTCAAACAAGTCTATTAAACTAACCCTTTGAAAACAGTTTCATTTTTATGCATTAGAAAAGTGCCAGTGGTGTAAAATAAAAATGGACGCGCAACAATTTCGGGAATTTGGCAAAGCGGCCATCGACCTCATGGCCGATTATGTCGAAAACATCAGAGATCAGTAAGTACCAATTTTTTGCAAAATTGAGTAGATTTAGCGATATGTGATTATCTCAATCAAGAGCTAGGATTTAGGTACCTATTTCTAGATTTATCTTACAAAGTCAATTTTAAGATTTCATTTAATCTAAATAGTTTGCAGTGTCATTTTATCAAGTTTTTAATAAAATAATGGACAACCCAAAAATACTCTAACAACAACTACTTTTTTGATTACTTAATTGGTATTTATTTTATAAAACAATTTCTGAGATCTTTACAAAGAATTTTACAGCATTAGACAATAACTGAAATACATTTAATACCTGAATTCATCAATTATCTCATAGACTTCCATAATTAGAGTTCCATAAAAATTGAATTAAAAGTTTTGCAATCATAGTTTTCAATCATAGGATTCGTACCTAGTTCTTACAATATATTCTTTCAGATAGGCTTGCAAAAAAAACCTGAATGCCTAATAATAAATAAATTCAATAGGGGATAAAAATTCTTACTCTACTAAAACAAAAAACCTAAAGAATTTCGGCTGAACATTGGGTACTTATACATTTTTCAAAAATACTTACCCTATAATTAAATTATCTATTTAAATAGGTACACCTGCCTATTTAAATAGATAATTTACGTACTAAGCCTAAATACCATCAATTTATGACGAACGAAATGTAAATGCAAACGAATATGAGTATTTTCAATAGGTAAACTTAAGCAACAAATTTACAATTACCTATTAGTATTCAAGATTAAATAATTAAACATAATGCAACAGTGAAGTTTTCATAAGTAAATATAGGTACCTCTATATTATTAATATGTCTTGTTTACTGTAACGTACCTATGTATCATTACGGTTATCATACAAGTTATCTTTTCACAAACAATATTTTAAATAATTTTATGCACTTTCAAGATGCAATGTAAAAAGGCGCCGGCCAAGAGCGCCGAACGCGTACTCGTTACGATTACTTTAAACGTGGAACAAACTCTTACTAAGGCCTCAGGATGAAAAACTACTTACTTAATTTGAATTAAAAATCTAGAAACTCTTATTAACCGCTTGAATGCACCGATATGAGACACAATAGAAGATACGACGGGTTAAACACATATCAGTCTCGCTATGAAAACATTTTTAAAATTTATAAACAAAATATTTTGTAAACCACCTAATTGAATACGAAATATTATAAAATATACATAGGTATTAATTACAGTATCAATACTGCGACAATATTTAACACTTATTATGTATAGTAACATTGTTTGTCCTGAAAATCGAACCCCAACTTGTAAGTAGGTACATAAGATAGTTGCCCTCACTTTCAACCCAATCAGCATACATATTACGTAATTAATTTGAAAATAATCCTAATTGTATCTAGTAATACAATCCTCTAGGTTGTAAAGCAGGTTCTACAAATATTAGCTGCTCCCCGCGACTTCGTCTACATATAATAATAATAGAAACAAAGACAGAATAAAAAGGCAAAATCTTAGTGATCGATGATCAATAAATTAACCTAAAAGTGTTGGCGACTCCAACCTAGGTGCTTACTCTTGAAATCAATCTTAATCTCAATGCAATTTCAATCTAATAAAATTTCAATAATTATTCAATGTCAAAACTATACATTCCCATCGTAACTGTTAAAATAGCATTCAGAGTACGGAATATAAATCCATACTCAATACCAAAGTTCATAAAATATCCACGCAATACGGATACAATGGCTTCTAGTATTGCAACTCAAGAGTACGAAATTTTACAATACCAATGTCGATCGATTGGATTCAAGAGTAAGCTCCTGTAGTTACGAACCCCTAGGTAGTAAAAAAGATAATACAAATATATCTGTAGTTAATACCTACAATATTTTTTCTTTCAGACTTTATTGTGTATTTAGTAATAGCAATTAAAATTAATTAGTACGACGCACACTGCCATGCCTAGTCATCGGTAGATTCTGCAAGATAATCGCAAAAAATACTATAGACACGAAACATTCCGTCATTAAACAATTATTCCATAGACATAAAAACACCAACAAGTAGGAACGTCTTCACAGAGTTTTCCTTCCATTGTTCAACCAAATAAACCTTTGTGTCTGCTTTGAATATTTTAAATTAGGACTTTACTTAACTGCACGAAATAAAAGTACCTAAATGATCCTTTAGCGTTAACTTTCCAGTTTAAAATCGACAGTTAATTGTTCGAGTTGTAATACTAATTATAAAATGCAATTAAACTTTTAGACCTAAATATATAATTAGATACTTAATGTGATTTAGGCATAAACCTCATACAATAATTATATATTTTGCCTCGAAGTTAAAATTATTGTGGTGTGAAGCGACTTCAATTTTATACATTTGACCACTGAATACATTCAGACGAAACTAACTAATTCTTCAGTTTAATAAATATACTTACATACGCACTAATAAGATGCAATATTTCGTAATTTCAATTACATAGGTACATAACTTCTTTATCAAAAAATTTAAAAATAATAATGGCATGCTCATTGTCATTATCAACCGAATACTGAAAGGCTACTCAATTTTAAATTGTACTTAAATATCGTGCCAGCTCTGTCATTCTACAAAGAATTTATTGTGACAAAACTATACATAAGCGCGACTGAAACTTGAGTGGCGGTTGAGTATATGAACGTATAATTTTTTAATGATGAAATCCTAAGATTTTCCAGACACCACACCATATTCCACGACGTACGATTCGATCATTGTTACAGGATTGATTTAGTTTGTTAAGATACTACGAAAATGGGATTGTGTGTACCTGCTATTTATCTTCAAAAACTGTATGAAAAGCAACATTACAATTTATTTTCAGTTAAATAAATGACGAAATCTAAGTTTACGATGCGGTCTTAACTGTTTAGTGTGACTTGAATATTTTAAGTCGTATAGCAACCGTTTAGTTGTTTCAGGAATAACATGTATAAAATATCATTAATGGCTTATTCGTGTACTTATACTGAATTTTGATAATTATAAAACTCATTTGGAATTGGAACCCCTAACAAAAATGCTATAATTTTACTTGCAGCGATGTCCTACCATCAGTGGAGCCTGGCTACCTAATAAATGCGTTACCTCAAGATGCTCCGGAACACCCAGAGGCCTGGCAAGACATCCTGAAAGACTTCAACCAAACTATTATGCCTGGCGTAAGTATACAATAAAAACTTCCTCAAGCTACTGCCTTTGATTGATTTATCTAGGGCTAATAAGTTAAGATCAATACGAAAGATAATTGGATAATGCCTAGTGTAAAACAGTTCTTAAAATTATTTAATTATCAAATCATATACTTACCTAATAGTTGCTGTAATACAATAGCATTCTTACCCACGTTAATTTATATCTTTTTTTCTAACACATGTTTTTCAAAATTACTTTAATCTTATCAAGCTCGGGTGAGGCGAGAGGGAGTATCAAACTCTTACTGACTAAAAACCACCCCGTTTTTACTCCTGCACTTACTCTTATCAATCTTGTCATATAGTTTATATAAATCAGAAATAACAAATAAAAATTCTTCAAAATCTTATCAGATTAGTATACTAGGTATTATCATTCTCTTTAGACTTTGCAATAACATATTTGTAATATGCAACTGCAATAGTGTTTCATAATAATATTCTTCTAGATTACGCACTGGCAGTCTCCACAGTTCCATGCTTTTTACCCGACCGGTTCATCTTATGCAAGCATCGTAGGAAATATACTATGTGATGGCCTGTCTGTCATTGGACTTAGTTGGGTAAGCTATAAATACTATTTATATTGTGATAGTAAATTCAAAATGATAGTTTCACACTAATGAATGTTATTAACATTTATCTTTTTGTCTGATGAACCAATTTTTTTTAGCTGTCGAGTCCGGCGTGCACTGAACTCGAAGTTCTAACTTTGAATTGGTTGGGGAAACTGCTCGGACTACCCGAAGAATTCCTGCATTGTTCCAGTGGGCCTGGTGGAGGCATCATTCAGGTAAATCCTAATTCATAAATAAAATATAAATAATTTTATAGAAAAAAAGCATATATACGGTCGAATCCCCCTCCTTTTTTTGAAGCTGTTTAAAAATATATAAATGTGTAAAAGACAGTATTCTTCATTACATATTTCGTTCAATTAATGTAACACAATTGAAATTTGTTGATTTTAATGTGGTTTGTTTGATTAAATAGTGAACATTATAAAAGTGGACCTAAATCTCGATGGACATATTACGTGTTGTATATAATAATAATTATTTTCTTTATCTCACAGGGCTCCGCAAGTGAGGCGACGTTAGTGGCACTTCTAGCAGCTAAAGATAAAACTGTACGCAGGATCACTAAAAGTGATCCAACCCTGGACGAAGATTATATCAAACCAAAATTAGTGGCATATACATCAGACCAATGTAACTCTTCAGTGGAGAAAGGTGGCTTATTGGCCTCTATGAAAATGCGTCTACTAAAGACGGATAGCGACGGCAGACTCCGTGGAGAAACACTCAAAAATGCATTTGAAGAAGACATATCTCAAGGTCTAATACCGTGTTGTGTTATTGCAAACCTTGGTACTACCGGAACCTGCGCGTTTGACCCATTATACGAACTGGGGCCAGTGTGCAATGAAACAGACGTATGGCTCCACGTGGATGCCGCCTACGCAGGAGCAGCATTCTTGTGTCCCGAGTACAGGCACTTGATGAGGGGCATCGAATTGTCCGATTCTATTGACGTAAATGCGCACAAATGGATGCCTGTTACTTTTGATTGTTCTGCAATGTGGCTCAAAAATGGATATGACCTTGTAAGGGCGTTTAACGTTCAGAGAATTTATTTGGACGATATCAAGACAGAAAACAAGATTCCTGACTATCGACACTGGCAAATACCCCTTGGCCGCAGATTCAGAGCCCTAAAATTATGGACAGCTATGAGGATTTACGGTGCGGAAGGTCTTAGAAAACATGTGAGGGATCAAATAACTCTGGCTCAATATTTTGCTAAATTGGTACGTAGTGATGACAGGTTTTTGGTTGAGCCAGAGCAATCTATGGGACTAGTATGCTTTAGGTTAAAAGAAGGAGATATTGTAACGAAAAAATTACTAGAGAATATAACCGAAAAGAAAAAGATTTATATGGTAGCTGGTAGTTACAATGGCAGGTATATGATTAGGTTTGTAATCTGCTCACGTTTAACGAAGAAAGAAGATGTGGACTTTGCATGGACACATATCAAAGACGAAGCAAACTTGCTTTGCTCAGATAAAGTACACACGAAGGCACAATTACCAGCAATCAATCAAATAGTGGCGAGAGAAATATGTGAGAAATCTAAATAGAATAAAAAATGTACCTATAGTGAAGGTATGGGAGATATTGTACAAGAAATGGTTGAATTGAATGTTATTGTAGGTACTTATTCGGTGTATAGAGGAGGGAAACGTTTAGTTATGTGATATAGGGGATTGACGTTAAATCAAGTCGTAATGTTAGAAATTAATTACACTTATACTTAGGGATAGAATAATCTGACCTTTGAAATGGTTCAAGATCTATTACATTTAGAAAAATAAAAAACTGTGTGACAATTACATGTTTTATTACGAACTTAAAATCTATCATTGGCGTCATGTATATTTGTGTACTACTTAATAACTACTGCTATTTAAATGCAACTACATGTGTGACTAACGCAAATGCCGTATGTGTAACCTTTTGGTAGACAATGCTCCTGACAAACCGCGTCCTCGTTGGCTTCTTCAAAATCGCACGAAACTCGCCCTGGGATCCTTGACTCTGAAATTTCAAATGCATCCACAATTAAAGAATGAAACGTAAGACTTCAATAGATAGACTATAAACCCAAGTGTCGTGATGTTTGCTATTCCCAAAATGTTTGCTGATTATATCACTCTATTCGTCAGATACAATCACAAAATGCAAGTCATTGTTATTTCACAATAAAAAATAACTACATTTACTAAAAACCTGATTGCCCATATTTCTATACTTACGTCGGTAGTTGATACCTAGGTGGATACGTTTAAGTCGCTTATTATAATTACAATACAGTTACACAAACGGTAACCATGAAAACTTCCGGGTAAGAGGTTTATCGCAGTCGCTACTTCTTTGTTTTTGATGGTTACAAAATATGCGTTGCGTATCTAACATCGATCACCTATGTCTACTAACCTCTTTACTTTTTACAGAAACAATTCGCAGTTAAGTACTTGGGTACAAAGTACAAAACCTCACAATTCGCTAATCGCCGGGGTTTACTCGTAACAAATTAGAACACAACTATTGGTAAACCGATAAATGAATAAATTAAACGCGTAAAATTGTTGCATACCTGGCGTTGTGGTTTCTGCTTTCGATTTTACATCCATGTCTCCATCGTGGATGGGGCCCAGGCTCTGTTCCTCCACAACAGAACTGTCTCTCGGTTTCGGCTTCCCGGCAACGGCATGTATCAGACAAGCCGACAATGCAATTAGCAGAATCACATTTATTACCTTTATACCCATTATTTCTTTGTACTACAATTATTGATACAAGGAAATAAACGTAGTTATTGTTAAACAGCTAATTAACGAATAACCGACGTATTACGGCACAAAAATAGACGAACACAATGTGATGAAAGGTCAACAGAAGCGGCCTTATATATTGTGCATTCAAGCTGTCAGTGGACAAGTCAATACGAACGTAGGTACACACACTACGACCCACTCGGTACTGCAATGACTAATGCATTGATTACTACTGTGGTCACATCGTTCCGAGGAAATTAATCATAGGTAGAAGTTCGTTTCTACTTATTTAGAAACTATTTATACTGTCGCGTTTGAACAATAACAAAAATTATACGTGCTTATGTATGTATACCTACAGGAAAAAGAGATACCTACATAAATAAGAATTGTTTGACATTATTAATTAGGATTCTGAGCAAACCTAGATATAGATCAAAGTACCGGCGGATGCGGCCACAAGATTTTGTAATCGCCAACTTTACGACGTGTTAAAATATGTTAATTTACATATAGGAATTTAATGAACAATTACTATGTTATTAATATTTACTGTATCTAGTTTGGCTGAGTGAAGTTCCAACATAGATAGATCTTCTGATGCTGATTTGTGATTCATTTGCTGTATCGTCTAGTGATTTAAATAAACTATACCCTAAACGGTATACATACTATAGGTACCATTGTAAATATTGATTTACGTACATGTGCGTACCAATCAGTTTCTATTTTATTAGGTCTAAAGGTGCTTAGGTAATATGTAAACCTTAGTTAACTATGCATTGTTTATGCATGTTGGCATAATTAATTAACAAAGCATTGAGTGCAAGAATTCGTTTTTTTTTTAAATGTGAGTTACTTGCAATTTTTTACTTTACCTTAATACGGATAGGCATAATACCTGTATCAATTTTTAAAATTATCTACTCTATGGCAAGATTGCATCGCCCTCCACACGATCGGCACACAATGGCAAAGAATTGCATTTAATATTCCAATTCCCGAGCCATTATTCAATTACCAGTAGTCTATAGCTACGAAGCAAGAATTCAATCTGAGATGTGATAGGTGCATGCTCGTCTAGTGCGCCTTAGCAAACTACAAAGTTGCAACTACCTAACAAAGCCATTTATTTGGCGTTCAGAGGCCTTAGTATAAGTTTTTTTATGTTTAAAGTAATCGTAACGAGTACGAATTCGGCGCTCTGATTGGTTGGTTTATTGGAACCGGCCAATCAGAGCGCCGTACTAAGGCCTCAGAAATTTCAAACTAGGTACCTATGTAGCTCCTATTCGTATACTCAACAATACTTACTGAAAGTTTCAAAATCGAAATAGGTACCGTTCCCAATATGGGCTACTTTGATTCTCCTGGTTTGTCGAACATATGGAGCCGTCATAACTACGAGTCTTTACTTGCAACTTTTGAAATTGGGAAGTTTCCAGGGTATCAAAATTAAAAATCTAATTAGTCCGTCTGTTAGGTAATGAAAAAATATTAGACGTGTATTGTTTTATTTTCTCGTAAAGTTGCAATACTTAGATAAAATGGCGCTAAGTTTAGGAGTGGGAGGTCGTTACGTCATAACGTGCTAAAAATGTGAAACGCTGTGACGTCACACCATATTTTAAATTAATATATCGTCGAAGGTAGATATTTAATTTTGTGAGAAAAGAAAACATACGAGTCTAAAGTTTTAAATTAATGTACCACGGGCATTATAACAAAATTTAGGAAACTACCCTATTGTACTTATATTACTTTGCTATTAAAAGTTTCTACCTATACGCAGACCAAGCTACATATAGGTATCTACATAACATAACACATACCCACACAATACGTACCTACATATTTAAATGTATCTATCAATTCGTAGTCTATCCACATTTTTTGCGAATAACTCGTGCATAATAACAATTCATCTTAATATTTATGTTTTTCGAGATGAGTTCAACGACCTTTAAAACTCGCTACGAAACCAGTTTAATAAAAATATTCGACAGGTATAACGAAATTTTAGAAGTTGTTATTTTTTAATAACTATCATAAAACATAGGTAAGTAATTAATGGTAAGCTATAGGCTTAATTAAATATTATTATTTACGGCTTTCTCACGTGTAAGACATAAAGTATTCGTAAACCATCTAGCTAATATTTAGGTAGCTATTTTAACATATCGATATTTTTGCCAGACATAAAACTTGTAATCTTAGTAAGTAAGTACCTATCTAGTGATCTCTGAGAGACAAAACAAAGCAACTTCAATGAAACTTTTTTTTGACGGATGAAAATCATCCAATGACTTCTCTCACCCGCCTGGGTGAGGCGAGAGAGAGTGTCAGACTCTTACTGACTAAAAATCACCGCGTTCCTAGGCCTGCACTTCGAGCCGGAGCCCCGGCAACCCGTTGGCTTTCCGCGGCACTTCAATGAACCAAACTGATAAATTGGGAAATAGATTCAAAATCTGAGTACCTACCGACCTATGCCGAAATAGATATGAAAAGTGGAATCGGTAGGTGCATATAGGATGCAGGAAGTTATCACATAGTGCATATGAAACTAGGCACTACGGCGTAGGGCCTACCGCCTACGGCCTCTAGGGCGTAGGGACTAGGAACACAAACATTTTCTGTTACCTACTCCCTACATTTTCTTGTTATTGATAAATTATGAATCACGACTAACTTATATGTATAACCTAAGTAATAACCTATTATTGTTGACTAGTGTGGATATGACTACATTGTTGCTAAGAAAATAGTCCCTGAAAACGATTTTATAAATAGGAAAATATTTAAACCTATCAACTAGACTTGTTTCTAAGCATCCCGATAATTACTGATCATACTACAGTAGACTACTTTCTTGTCACAGAATACTCTCTGGTGCTCAAAAAAACATGATAGTTAGGTAGAGGTACGTATACCTACCTATTTAGTAAAATACCTATTTAGAAGTTCATTCGAGGTTAAAGGCTTGGCGCAAAAATCGATTTCAGATTGGACTCGGTTATTATTTTCGGTGGTTGGGAGACCGATTAGATACTTCACGGGACTGCGGACGGCGAGCACGGGTGACTCGCCGCCCGACCAGAACCAGGCCCGAGCGTACGGCGCGTCGCGTTCCGCGCGCGCCTCAAGGAGCTATCAGACCACCACAGATGGGGCCCAACAGGGCTGATGCCGATACGGAGCCGCGGAAGACTTAACGGGTCACCAGGGCTCCGGCTCGAAGTGCAGGATTAGGAACGGGGTGGTTTTTAGTCAGTAAAACCCCTACCGCCTCACCCGGGCGGGAGAAGTCATTGGATGATTTTCCCCATAAAAAAAAGGAGACGGATTAGAATTATTAAACTGAATATGAAACAGCAGACAAAAATCAAATCGCTGATATTGGTCATGAAGTCGAAACCCTGGAGTGGACTCAGCAGTTCATATTATTATCAACCAACTAGGAAAGTACCTATATACCTATCTACATCTGTAAACGTAACGCATAATTGATGGTAGGTAAATAAAGTATTTTAATAATAGAAAGGAATTAAATGTTTCAATAGTTGTAATACTTGTAATCAACTGCTCAAGACTGATATTGCATGAATAACACGAAAAGGAAAATAAAAACAATTAAAATTATAAAAACAATGTATTTTTCTCAGTGTTTCGGAACCGTTCTGTTTACACCTGTATGTCAGAAGAGCTATGGGCAAAACTGGTCAAGACATACCACTTAATGGAGCGTCTACAGACGGCTGTGGCAAGCCAAAAGCCACGGTTGGTGCAACAAATTGGACGATTACTTATAGGGATTAGCTGCAGAGAAAACTAGGCAGCCAGAGAAACAGAAGGAGGGTAAGAAAACCTTTACCCCGAACCTCGAAGCAATTTGGGGAGGTAGCACGCGGTTGGCCTTTTATTGTAGGTACCATAATGTAACTATATAGGTTTTATAAATAATTCTTGTGGACTTATTTGGTTGCTAATACCGATGACACAATCCAAAATAGAAATCACAAAACAAAATATTACTTAGTAAATAATTATTAATGTCATACCATGAAATCATGCTTACAGTAAATAAATACTGTAGGTAATATTAAGGTATTATTATTTATAGGTAAGTCCGTCGTTGTATTATTTTAATAAATTAAGCGCTAATTTCCAATTAGGTTGGTTTAATGTACCTACTTTCCTTGTATAGGTACCTTCAGGCACTGATTTAAATGACCAAATCCAGTGTCGTACCATGCATGTGTTATAATATTTTAGGATATCTTCAAAAATGGAAAGATTACTTACGTTAGATAATGGCAAGACTTTTACCTATAAGCGACACTTCCATAATATGAGTATCAAAATAAAACTAATAATAAAGATGATGTATATTTATTTATGTAAAACAAAATTATTTGGCTTCACACTAATTAAAATCATATTAACTAGTATTTACTTACTTATTATTATATTTTATGTACATTATGTACTAGTTATGTATAGACTAATAATTAATAAAATCTATCCACGTCTAATTAAATACATCTTTATTTATTTTGTATTAATATAACACAGTACATAATACATAATATTACACAATGTACATAATTCAGCTATTTACTAGTTTATTAATATCACATAACACAATACTTAACTTCCAAAAGTGAGTAGGTCCGCACCAGTCAACAGGCTGACATAGAATGGTGCTCTGACCTTGTCAGCCGTACTTATAGCCACAGCCCCACCAATAACAATACGTCACAACACGTGTTCTATGATTGTTCAAACAACTAATATTTTTGTAAATTACTTTTACAATATGTAATTTTATTATAAATCTATAAATACGTTATATAATTAATTACAAGTAAAAATATTTAAATTTTAATCGATCTAATTATTATTATTTTATAACACGGCCATTCTGAAATGTACTACGTTCTCGGAGTACAATAGACATTTATATTATTATTATTATGTTTTCTATCTACCTA